GCTCCCATACTGATCACCAAGCCCACTGGCATCACATGCAGCATCATATTTTAGGTACAGCGAGTTTCTTAGACTGTGTCTCAAGGAAAGAGAAAGATCCCCAGGAGAGTGAGGTGAGGCTCTGATTGATTCTCGTCCATAAAGCTGGAACAGGGGGAGACTAAGAGTTGACCCAATGGCTCAAGCCCTCCATGGGAAAGGACTCAAGGGGAACTTATATGCAGGGGCAGGGCAGTCAGGATTAGTCACTGACAAGAACATCTTTGGGCCACACCATACAGAGGCCTGAGGCGGATTGTTAGTGATGTTTAAGGGGCAGACATCTTATTGGGCCATACTTGTGGGAAAAGATAGATGCTAACACTTAGGGCCCATATTTCGTGGTTTGTTTTGAAGTGACCCAAACGCATATATGATGACCCCTAGTGTGTTTCTTCAAAGACTTGAGACTGAACGTCCTCCATTCAAAAGAAATTTGGGAAGCAAGAGCAGCCTGAAGCCCCGCTTCCCCACTGACTTTGTGGTCACCATTGGGAAAAGCTGGATAATTCTAAGAGATTGTGTTAAATCTCAGGGTTTCATCATTTCTGAAGTCTTCATAAAATAGGGCAATAGTCCTACTTAGGAGAAAAGAGAAGTGGCTTTCTTCAGTCATCCTTGGATTGAGCTAATTATTTTTTTGGAACAGGGCTCTCCTTTGAAGCTTGCATTTCCAGGGCTTAAGTTTGTAATGGTGCACTATTAACGTTTCCCAAAGGGTAAGATGCCATCAGTAGCTAAAAAGGTTGGAATTCTGGGATTGTTGGCTTCCAGGTGTTATTTTAGTAGAAAATACAAACCTATTGATGACCTTACTCTTTGACCCAAATAAAGAAAGGAAAGGAATTTTATGTAAAGAGATGCTTTAACTGTTTGATTCAGATTAATTTCCTCGAGATCAACGGGTCCTGCTGTTTGGACGTATGATCCTAGTAGATCTCAGGAGTCACTCTGAAGGTGCTACTGCCATTCTTGACATCAGAGATGGTGAAGATAATTAGGAAAGGAAATCTTATGATAGTCATAGAGGGTGACAGAGTTTTGCCTTAAGTTTTGGGAAGCTGGAATAAACAAACAGCTGAAAAGTCCTGTCAGAATAACATAAACATCTCACTTAAAATTTTTTTCAATGTTTGTTTGTTTTTGAGAGAGAGAGAGAGAGAGAGAAACAGCATGAGTAGGGCAGGGGCAGAGAGAGAGGGAGACACAGAATCCAAAGCAGGCTCTAGGATCTGAGCTGTCAGCACAGAGCAGATGTGGGGCTCAAACACACTAACCCTAAGATCATGACCTGAGCTGAAGTCAGATGCTTAACCGACTGAGCCACCCAGGCATCCCAAAAGTCTCACTTTTAAAATAGTCTGTTCGGAAGTTCTTAACAACTGACTGTCTCTATATTAGGTGAAAATTTCTACCATTAGTGTTTAATTTTTTTAAAAACATTTTTATTTATTATTGAGAGAGAGACAGAGCATGAGCGGGAGAGGGGAAGAGAGAGGGGGAGACAGAATCTTAAGCAGGCTCTAGGCTCTGAGCTGTCAGCACAGAGCCCATCGTGGGGCACAAGATCATGACTTGAGCAGATGTCAGACACTTAACCAACTGAGCCACCCAGGCGCCCCATACTATTAGTGTTTAAACACAGGCCACATGAACAAGAATCTATTGCAAAGGGTAACACTGAATATGCCAATAAAAGACAATCAGTATTAAATATGTCATTATTTCAATGAGAAGTAGATTAAATGAGATTATTTTTATTTCTCTGAATAGCACAATGACTTTTTCATAAATTGCCTTTAAAGTAAAAGATTTCTCAATATAATAAGCATGTCCCATTCTAGAAAATTTTATAAATAGATGAAAGTAGAGAGAAAGAAATATATAATTCTGTCACCAAAGGCAACCAATGCCAACATTTTGTTTATTTCCTTCTAAATTTGTTTCAGGTCCTCATTGTATATTCTCTTACTCCTGTTTTTTTTATCACTGCTACTGCAGTTAATACTGTTACCACCACCTTCACCTACCATTTCCTGGAAAGTAACATTACGGTCTTCACACATAATTCTGTTGAGTTGGTAATTTTTTTCCAGTTTTATTGAGAAATGATTGACATCGTCACTGTGTAAGTTTAAGGTATACAACACGGTGGTCTAATTTATATATATTGTGAAATGATTATCACACTAGGTTTACGCTAACAACCCTCATCTCCTATGGATAAAATAACAAGGAAAGAAAAATATCCCCCCCAACAGCTTTCTCTCTCTATTGTATAGCAGTGCAAACTGTAGGCATCAAGCTGTCTATTACATCCCCATCCTTTCATGTAATGGCAACTCTACATTTTGACAACCTTCTTCCAATTCCTTCTTCTCCTATCCCCCCACCTCTAGTAACCACAAATCTGATCTCTTTTCCATGAGTTTGGCGTGTGTGTGTTTAAATTAGATTCCACAAAGAAGTGAGATCATAACGTATTTGTTTTCCTCTTATTTCACTTGACATAATGCCTTCAAAGTTCATTCCAGTCATCAAAAATGGTAGGATTTCCTCTTTTATGTATGAATGATATTCCATAGTGTGTGTTTGTGTGCGTGCATGTGTGTGCATGTGTGTGTGTACATCCCGCATATTTTTTATTCATTCATTCGTCAGTAGACACTCCAGTTGTTTCTATGTCTTTCTTGGCTATTGTAAATAATGCTGCTCTGAACGTGGAGCTGTAGATAATCTTGTCAAGTTAATGTTTTTATTTCTTTTGGTTATATTCCCAGAAGTGGAATTACTGGATCATATGGTGGTTCTATTTTTAATTTTTTAAGAAACCTCACTGCTGCTTTCCATGGTGGCTGCACCAATTTACATTCCCACCAACAGTGCTCGAGGGCTCCCTTTCCTCCACATCCTTGCCAACATTTGTTACCTCTTGTCTTTCTGATCGTGGCCATACTGATAGATGGGTGTTGATCCCCTCCTGGCCTTCTTTTATTCTCAATTTTCTCATTACCTAAATTCTTCTATCTCTAAATTCTCTTGTAAAATATTTTCTTACTCTAAAAACAATTCTGTATTCTGCTTTTTCACTTAGAGTGTAAGAATTTCCCCCATACTGTTAACATTCTTCATAAAAGGTCTTCGTTGCTTTGTAAAGGTCCCTTGTAAGTATATTTTTCATACTGGTAAATTTTCAACTGTGTTTAGTTTTTTATATGTACCTTTTTATTACTGAACACCAATTCATTACAAAGCATACTGTGTGACGGCTAAAGTCCGGTTGGACTCTAAGGTCTAGAAGAAAGGCCACCCCGAAATGGGGAGAGTTAGTGCTCTAATCAGTATTTGCTACTCAGGTCATCTGCTCTGTGAAGCGGATGTGGACAAAGGACCAGCTTGTAGGCAGACGCTTTTTAAATGAAGACTCTTTTAAAAAAATTTTTTTTAATGTTTATTAATTTTTGAGAGACAGAGCACGAGTGGGGGAAGGATGGAGAGAGGGAGACACAGAAGCTGAAGCAGGCTCCAAACTGCTGACAGCTCAGAGCCTGATGCGAAGGTTGAACTCACAAACTATGAGATCATGACTTGAGCTGAAGTCAGACGCCTAGCCAGTTGAGCCATCCAGGTGCCCCAAATGAAGACTGTTAATATACAATTCCAAGTGTGTTGCTTTCTCTCTGTGTTTTTAAGGTCTTTGCTTTTGTTTTATCTCCAGCAGCCCTCTGACTGTGCTCCTCCTGACAAAATATTTCTTAGTTTCTCTTTAATTTTTGTATCCTTAAGAAGTCACTTGAACCTTCTTATCCCTGAGAGACTCAAATTACTCCCATCTTTAAGTTCTGCAAAACTTTCCTGGGTGACTGCTAAATCCCAATTATAGAATTTGTGTATATCTTTCCCGCTGACTACCTGTTTAATCCATGTCTAAATCATCTCATGTTTAAAACTATCTGGTTCAATGGAGTTTTACCTTCCTAGTTACCTCACTCTAAACTGCTTCAAGAAATAGATTTTCTTTAAAATTACATAGGGTTTGGATAAAGAGCTATCACATTTCTACCAGTTGTTTCAAACAGGTAATTAGGAGTCCAGTGATTACCATTTTTAAAACCAAAACATTACCCTCAAGTACCTGTACTGTAACTGGCACTGTTGTTAACACTTGGCATAGAGTAGAGATAAAGCTAAAAGTGATCCCCACCCATGTGGAGTGTAAAGTCTAGTGGAAGATGCACATAAAAATAAACAGGTAATTTTTTACTGTTTTTACTATAATTATGTATAGTACATCACATCCTGATGTTCTTTTATAATATGTAAAGATAGTGATAAGAGTGTTTGTGTCATAGAATCTTTTTCAGGCTGCCTGGGTGGCTCAGTTGGTTAAACATCCAACTTTGGCTCAGGTCATGATCTCACAGCTCAGGAGTTGGAGCCCTGTGTTGGGCTCTGTGCTGACAGCTCAGAGCGTGGGGCCTGCTTCCGATTCTGACTCTGTCTCTCTCTGCCCTTACCCTGCTTGTGCTCTCTCTCTTTCTCTTTCTCTCTCTCTCAAAAATAAGTAAATATTTAAAAAATTTTAAAAAATTAAGTTTCTTCTATCTTGTTCACATTCATTCTTAAACTAAGCTGCAAACTTCAAGTTAAAATGCTTGTCTACTGGCTTTCTCAGTCTTTGTGATTAAAGAGCATCGTGAAACAAAATGGAATTTCATACTTTTGCTTGGTTGTTGGTTGATCACAGGTGTGTTAAATGATACTGTATTTAAAGGAAATTTTCTCCATGCCTTTCCTACTGCCACGAGATTACTTTGTTGTCAGGTCTTTCAGAACATGACTGGATTCCTAACAAGAAAATGCATTGCAGTGTGCCAGAACACTGGATGGCCCTGCTGAACTTCAGAGACTGTGAGAACATTTGTCAGATATGCCAATAAATCTTCCCTCTCTCTCCCTAGGTCCAAGGATCTCATAAAGGAAGCTATCCTTGACAATGACTTTATGAAGAACCTGGAGCTGTCGCAGATCCAAGAGATTGTGGATTGTATGTACCCGGTGGAATATGGCAAAGACAGTTGCATCATCAAAGAAGGCGACGTGGGCTCCCTGGTGTATGTAATGGAAGGTATGGTTTGTAACCCCGAGTCTCTGACATGCAGATATTCCCTTTTCCTCCTATTGGCCCGCACACTGATGGTGACGTTACATGGGAAAGGTCCACATTTCCCTCTTGTGTTGTTGAGAAACAGTTTGAAAAGAGATGGGACCCGACTTAGATACAGTGGTTGACTAGTTGTACACAGGGTTTGTTTAGAATACGAATCTGAGAATCGAGTAGTTTTCTAGACATGGGGAAAGTGTGAGAGCATGAAAGAAAGAAATGCTGTTTATTACACTGTGTACGTCTGCACACTGTCAGGTCGTTGAGCAAGCTCACGAAGCTTCCAGAGAAGCTTGAGGCCATTGGAAAGTATTTTTGGTCACATAATCAAAGTGTCAACTCTACTTTTAATTTTCAGGATGTGACTGGGTTTCCTGCTCTCATGCTTCTATAAAAAGAGAATGTTTTCAGTGTTTTGTATATGTGTGAAAGAGACAAATCAGATTGGTCGGAGGGCCTATTAGCTGCCTAATTAATAAGAGTGATAGATTGTTTCATAAATCTTACACAAATTAAGATAGAAACTGCCTTGAAAAGAAAGAGAGGCACCATACAAATTTCTTTTATGCTGAGACAGATTTTCCTAATGTTCATTTCTCACTTGGAGATTGTAATGCCATGTTTTCTTTCTGGGGGGAAACAAAAGCCTGAGATGATGACCAGATCAGCCAAGGAGAAAGTGAGTTCCGAAGTGCCTGTAAGACCACAGCGTTGCCATACAGAAATCACAGTCAGCCTGTAGGTGGTGATGGGTGGTTGACATTCATGGTGCTTTCCTAGAATTGTCAAGTTCATAGGTGGTTACAAGAAGGAATGTATCTGAAGAGGTGACTTAACTTCTCTGCATTTCATCTAATTTATATATATACATATATATAAAAGGCACTACTTGTTTCTGACAGTGGTTCTCAACTGGTGATGATTCTGTCCCTCCATGGGACATTTGATATTACCAGGGGACAGTTTTGGACAGGTTGGGTTGTCACAATTGCAGTGGGGACAGGTTGGGTGTGGAGGCTACTGGTATCCCATGGGTAAAAACCAGGAACATGGCTTGCTGGGTAGGTGCCCGCAACAAGGAATTACCTGGCCCAAATTGTCCTTAATGATGGCATTGGAACATCCTGCTCGTTCTTTCTTTATGAGATTATTAGGAAGTTAATAAAAACAATTTGAGTAAATGTTTAATGTACAGTGTAAAATGTTATTAAAATGTTATAAAATAGCAGCGAGTGCTATTATTTCCATCAAATTCCTGACAGGATATAAAAAAAGGTTCTTCCTGCATATGTCATTCACCTTTTAATTTTCCTTTGTCATCTTCTTTTTGAAACATATTAGGCATTCAACTTTTAAGTTATAATTTCATTTTTTTTTCTTTAGAATTTCAGCTTTTGTGTCAACATTATAATGCTTTTCCCCAGGCCAAAAGGAGATAAATGATCAGCTAGGCTTTCTTATGGATATAAGCAAGACGCAATAAACAAAAACCCAAACAATACTCACTTGCCGGACAGTTGCAGGGGAAAGAGATGAAATTATAGGGAAAGAGTAAATGTGGGTAGTGAGCAAAATGGATGAGAAAGAGTTGAGAAATCTATAGAGGCCAAATGTAACCTAGAAATATAGAGGGATGGGTTAAGAAGCACTAACAATTACAAACCAAGCTGAAGCATTTCTTAGATTACAGTCTATCAGCGGTTTCGTAGTTGATTTTTGAGATAATTCATTGTCAGGCATGTTTGTAAGAACATGCCTCTTGTATAAAGCAAAGTACACCTCACTTTGACTATTTACAAATGCGAATTATTGAAAATCCATTCAAGAAATAGATATTTTGAAAACTTGTATGCCCACTTCTCCTTTATGTTGAATAGCTTACAGAAATAAATTTCCACACAGCCTTGCAGATTTTCTCTAAAAAATACTGTTTATGCATACTATTCTGTTTTCTAACAGTAACAGCCAGTCTACTAGCTATGGTAGAAGAAGCTTAGAAATCATAGTTAATGTTTATTGAGTGCTTAGAACAAAGCCCAACATACTGAGCATGCTTTTGTAAACACTTTCCATGTATACAGTGTATTTAACGTTCAAAACAATCCTGTGAGGTAAGAGGTAATATTTATTGTTTTTTCTTTATGGCTGAAGAGATGGAGGCCCAGTGAAGTTAAGTAATTTGCCTGGGTCTCCCAATTGGTTTATAGTAGAATTAGGACTGAACCCAGGTAGTCTGGATTCAGAGCTCCAGCTTTTAACTGTAGGGCTATGTGGTAGGGTTCTCCAGAGAAGCAGAGCCGATAGATAGATAGATAGATAGATAGATAGATAGATAGATAGATAGACAGACAGACAGATATTGATGGATAGATATTTATTTTAAGGAATTGGATCATGTGATTGTGATACTGGCAAACCCAAAATCTACATGGGAAGTCAGCAGGCTGGAGATCTAGGGAAGAGTTGATATTACTGTTCAAATCTGAAGGCTGACTGCTGGCAGAATTCCTTCTTCCTCAGTGGAGGTCAGTCGTCTTTCTATTGAGGCCTTCAACTGATTGGTTGAAGCCCACCAACATTAGGAAGGTAATCTGTGGCTTAAAGTCTATGGATTTATATGCTAATTTTATCTACCAAATACCTTCACAGAAGGATCTAGTATGATGTTTGACCAATCCTGTCTGGACAACAGGGCCTAGCAAGCTGACACATTAAATTAACCATCCCGACTCCACTGTTTGTCAACTCTGCCCCTGCGTGTGTCTCCCTAAACCGTGCTTCATCTCCAAATAAAGATAGCAACCAGGTCAGAGCGCCACCTACCATGTACCTTTCAGCTATGGCTGAAAGTCCGCTAGCACTTTGCCCCCAAGAGTATGGAGTCCTTGGCTGATATTCACTCTTCTTAATATCCCATAATTTAAATACTATGTCGTAAAGCTAATGCTTAAGTGATGTGATGTAAAGGCAGTCCATCTTATGATACATGAGAAGGGGGATATGAGATAGGAAAACAAGAATTTTGTGCACGTACATACACACACACAGAAACATACACACGAACATATTTATGACAAACTAGAGAAGAAATACCGAAGGCAGGCTTTCCTAGGCAAAGATGAATATACTAATTTCTCCTCCATTGCTACAAGCTAATTTTAATAAATTTTATTTCTCTTCCTTTTACTGCTGGATTGACTAAATAGCAAGTCATCTTAATTATCTTTTTTTAAAACAGGGTTGTAAATAGTATATCAATATTCAGAGTCACAGATTTTGCAGTGATGCCCTTGATTGCCTTCAGTGAAACTCAGTAAAATGACTATAATCTTAATATGTGATGCCGATCTGTCCCCAAGCTGTAATTCTAACCTGTTCAGTGTAACTTTGGCTGATCTGACACTAATATCCTCATGTCAAAATAATTTCAAATTAAAAAAAGAAAACATCATTTAAATTTTTATAAGTTTTAATTGGAGAAATGCTTCATTGTTTACTTTTTTTATCAGCATATTTAATCGTCTCAAAATTTAGAGAGCAATGCTCTTGATATAGATGGATTCTTTCTTGTCTGCGAGCATTAATATTTATAAAGAGTATACCATAGCCACAATGGATCAGTGGGCTCCACAGGATCATTCACAAACTTGCTCATCATCCAGATATTCAGAGAAACACCCAGGGAGTTTACATGGAAGAGTAGCCCAATTTTCTCTCTCTTTCCTTAAATGAAGTTTCTTTGTATAATGCCATTGAACATGTGCCTTAAATGATTTTTATTTTAGCTGGGCAGGGTCCCAAGTATGATTGCACACCTAAATGCCAGAATTTCTCATCGTTTTAGCAAAAGAGAATAGTCATATGGTAAGGCTTCACTAATGAGGATGACAGGGAAAATCATCTGGGGGTAGTGTAAATATATTATGTATTTTCAAGCAAAATGAGTTGTGTGACTTTCAGATACTTAAAATTGCTGGCTCGGAGAAGTTTCCTTTTTAAGTTTTAATCAGAATTGTTTGGAATTAGTTTCTTAAGACAGTAGTGTAAGTAGGTTAAATTGCTAAGGCTCTCTTATACTTTAGTTATGTTTTCAACTGGATAAATGAATCTTATAAAGTACTTGAATACAGTTTATTTTCTTAGACATTGGCCTTAATATCGATGTAAAATTTGAAACTATCCTTACATTCTTGCCCTCCCTGTTCTTATTATAAAGATAGGTTTAGTCTCCTATCATCCAACATAAATCGTAGTCTGATTTAGTGACTTTTGATGGTGGTGTGATTAAAATACCTTTTCTGTGAATCTTAATTGAGTATTTTCATATTGAAAAATGTTGAATTTGTATCCGTCATAGTGGTTGATTTGCTTAGAGATACTGGTTTTGCATGTTTTCTGCGATATTTGTGGGAGCAGATAGATTATATTTTATTTTCTAAAAAACTGTGAGTTATCTATTTAGTGTTCTTTGAGCCTTGGCTATCTTAAGTTAAACTCTTTAATGAAATTATCCATTCTTTTGTGAGGTTATGAAATTGTCCATTCTTTAATGTTAATAGCTTTTTATCAACTACTGATAAATACCAGGTACTGTTCATTTTATAGGTATTAAATTTGAATCTTCAGAGCACCCCTTAAGAAGTAGGTATTATATCATCTGCATGTTGATAGCTAAAAGACCTGATGATAGACAAGGTAAATGACTTGGCCAGGATCATACAACCAGTATGTTGGGGTGCATGTGCTCTTGAGTTCCCATATGTGGTGACTGGGCAATGTTAACTTTCAAAGTACAGATTAGGGGTATCCGTGTGACATATTTATTATGTATTATATATTATTATCCCAGTTTGAAAAGCCCATAGAAAATGCGCAACATTAAAACATAGGATAAAAAAAAAGTTTTATTACTTTCAAGGAAGGAATAGAACTTAAATGGCAATTCCAAAAGAGAATAACCCAGG